TGACAGCAATGTCAACGACGAAGTCTTGACTTGGAACAGATTATTTGCCGAAGTTGCGGATTCTCCTGCACCGCTTAAAAAGCACCGAGAGCTCCTTGAATGAATAATAAAATCGCTGAAGCGATGCGTGATCATAATTATCATCTTCAGAAAGCTCAGAAATCAAACTCTACATACCACTGGGGAATGTATAGAAAGCTGCGAAATTTTTGTGCCTCGCGAAATTAAGTCCTCGAAGTCAAATTACTATTGCAACCTAATTGAAGAAAGTAAAGGCAATTCCAGCATTGTTTGTAAAGCGGTGAATGAGGCTTCCTCACGCAACGTTAGCTCATCCATCCCGCAGTGTATAATTGCAAGTGGAGTACAATATAACGACTCCAAATCCATTGCTACAGCCCTGAATGATTACTTTGCTTCTGTTGGAAGATTGTAGGCAGAAAAATTCTCTCAATCTCTTAATTATGCAAATCTTGCGAAACCCAATGTTGCTGAACCAGCGACGGTTTCTTTTGAGTTAAGAACCGTAAGCCATTCCTTTGTTTTACAACAGATTTATGCCGTTAAGCGCAATAAGGCCATCGGGTTAGACAGAATCAGTGCCCGTTTTACTGAAATGTGCTTCTCGAACTATAACTCCATCAACTACGAAATTGTTAAATTTGTCAATTGCAACCAACGAGTTTCCTAACGTCTGGAAATGCCCTAAGGTCACAGCACTTTTTGACAATTAATTTTTCTCCTTTTTGAGGAAAACATGGATTAACTTTGAATCAACTGTAGTTTGGCAGAAACAGGTAGCAGAAGACCACAGTTGTAAAAAGCCATCATTTAGGCATCATAAGTTGCCCTAAAATCAGCGTTAAAATCAGTTGACACATTATGTTTGAAGAGTTCTATTTATGTGAAGGGTATCAGTTCTAGTTCTCCCACTGTAGCGGCAAGCGAACATCAAGGCCGAATGAAGCGCCGAGAAAATCGCGACCGGAGAAAATAGCAACCAAGCCAGGGGATAAGTTACGGAGACTTATCTTTAATCAATCTCGTAGACTGTAGGCGAATTAAAAAAGGAGACTTATATAATCGATTGTACTCAATTAAAACACGTGGCGACTTAACAGCGTAAATAAATCTAACATAATGAAAAGAACTAATAAATGAACTAAGTGCCACGGCAAACACAAAATATATATACAAATAAAGATGAAAGAGCTTGCTCGAAACGAGATAAAGGAAAATTATGACTAGAAATAGCCGCTAGACGATACGACGGCGGCGAGTAAATAACACACACACTAAGCATAAAATCAGATCAAGAGAAACGCTACCTTGCATAAATCGGGCAAGCTACAAAAGTGAGAACAAACGAATNGGCAGAGAATATTTATTTATTTATTTCATCGCACCAGCGAATTAATTAACTACTATATATAAGGAGGTATGTTCTTTATTGAATAAAATTCTGTCTGACGAGCGCTTCGGCGCGAAACTCAGAGTAACAGAGAATCGATGCGTCCTCATTGATTCTTCAACGAATATATACCCAGCTTTGCCAACACAGCATTGAGCACTTTATGCCAAGGCAGACTCTACCCTCACATTTATATGTATATAATAATATTATCAGCAACGAGTTGGGTTAGTTGGTCCAAGACACTTAATTGCTACCTAGAGTTTCATGCTCCATCAGAAGCAATCATCAATCAACTGCCTGAAAATCGGTCATTACGGAATCGCGCCCATTGTAATGCGTCGCCCGGGAAAAGTAGGGTATCCATGATGCTTTGCAGGCGGAATGAGGTTGCAAAAGCTAACCGCCAGCTTCGGTCTCTTAAGATCTGAATTGACGAATTCCCAAAAGGGAGTTATAAAATTTCGCTTTGTGTCCGTTCAGAGACAACGGAGATACAATTGAAGCAATTAGCATTGTTTGAAGGTGATGAAACGAGGTGTTGTTATGGTAAAGCTGAGTTGGAACTGAGCGTGTATATACGTGGAGCAGGAGTTTACAATGTATACTTAAGCTTTTCGAAAAGTAAATAGACTTTCCCGACGTGTTAAGTGAAACTGACAGCAATAACGGGCTAAAAAGGAATATTTCTGTAATGTTATTTTGCTTTCATGGCGAAATTGATGGTCGAACCTCGTAAATCTGTCGCATTTCAGTCTTAACCTATTTATTCTATTTATTCGTTTATGAGCCGAACTCAGCTATAAGCCGAGACCCTAAACTAAATCGGTCAGTACATTCAAAGTTATTTGAAAAAACGTGTGCTGTGTAGCGCGGAGCGCGCTAATAAGGTAATGACATTTTTAGCAGAAATTTCCCAGAGTGTCTACAGGACGATGCTAATTCCTTTCCGCTGTTTAAGGTTGACATTTCGGGTTAAAACAAAATAAAATACTTCTCCCACAAACACAAATTACAATTCTTGGTGACGTTCGAGTAAGATCTTGCCAGTTTTATTTTGCGCCATTTGATGTTGTACTGGATGTTCCGGTCTTTCAGGTTCCAAATATGCTTACTAAGCTCAGTTACGTTTCTATAACGTTCATTACGGAATGAGCAAATGTGATTTCGATATCTTAATTTAAATGGAGTGTCACAAAGTCCGATATATGTTTCCCTTGTTATATCGGACTTTGTGACACTACATTTAAATTAAGATATAGAAATCACATTTGCTCATTCTGTAATGAACGCTATAGAAACGTAACTGAGCTTACTAAGCATATTTGGAACCCGACATGTAAAGATGTGGCTAGTACGGAAAAATACCGTTTAACACGAAAAGGTAGACCATGGATAGTTTCTTGCACCAAAGAGATGAATATCCAATATGGCAGACGAAGCGGAAGGTAAATACAAATTACTGACCTTTTCAACCTTCGTAGAATGAGTAAATCGCGAGGCAAATAAACCTTTTTCTGTGGGTCAAAATTCAGTCTCCCTTTCTGTGTTATCTGATCGGTACGAGCAACACACCCTGACGAATCTGGTTGGTGCGAGCAACCTAAAAAAAAAATAACTCCAAACCATGTTTATTCCCAAAAAGGCTTCTATTGCTTATTGCTGGTCAACTGTCAAAAAAGATGAAAGGATATTTATTGAAAAAGAGCAGACTTAATATGGATTCTTTTTCCGCTATCTAATCACTCTTTCTCGGCCTAGAGAACCTCTGTTTTGGATATAAAGAAAGCATTATCCTTAATATAATAAATCGAGTTGAGGTATACTTGAATAACGTAAAGATAGACTTTCTTACATAGTTAACGCTTATTTCACCAAACTATTGGTGAAGAATTAAACAATTTGTAACTAAAAAAAAGAACTTCACTTCCTATGGAAGTGGGAATGAACGCAGAAATGGCGAATGCGCATTGAATTTCATCATGTAGCATCCAATTTTAATGTCAGTATAGATTAAAATTCAAACCACGTCCGCTTTCAAAACTAGGCAACTGATTTTTCTTTGACTAGTCGCTATTTTCTGAGTTTCAGTTAGAAAAAGAAAATGACCTCAATTTCAGTCCTTTCAGGACGAAGGAGTACAGGGCTATCTACGAGGTATTAGATATTCCGGATGGACGAACGGACTGGAGGATTAGATGTTTTGAGACAACCGATTACGGTTGGTTTTGCCGTGATGTTACTGGCTGTAAGACTGCCAAACCATTTACTGCAATAGATATCTCATTAGCTCCTTTTGTTCCTCTACCAGCATTTGAATTTGACCCACACACGTCAACGGTGAGTGACAAATGAGCCTAGGTCTTCCCAGGGAAGACTTCTTTATATAGCGCACCTTCGTGTTTAAGGCCACCACTGCACAATAAATTGATGGAAAATATTTGTGCGTGCAGATAATTATATTCATTGTACATTGTCACTGTACATTGTCATTGATATTATATAGAATGCCTCCAAAATAATCAGCTTAGGCGGCATAAGATGAGAACAATTAGGAGTGACCATCATATATTAAACAGTCAAGAGATAAATAAGATATCACTTAGTCCTTTTGATGATAAGAGATATATATTAGATGATGGCATTACTAGTTATGCATATGGGCACAAAAATATCTTAGAAAAGTTCCCATAGATCATGTAGATGTCTAAAATAATTGACTGGAATCATATCTCAAATAAACTATCAATAGAAGAAATATCTGAACTAAAAGCTTATTATTACGCTTATCATAGAAAATGTTGAGCTTATAAACAAGCTTTTAAACACTTTAAACGATTAAAAATCATTGTCAATTCGGCGGCTTTGATATTAGCATCTGGAGGTTTTGCTGCAGTGATTGATAATAGTCCAATTGTAGACAAATATTTACAATTTCGCATTAACTGATATATGGATAATGAACAAGTAGTCAAGGAGATAGCCGATATATTGATAAGGAGAGCTGATAATCTCAATAACAGAATTCAAAATCCTTATTTTATTTTATACTTATTTGGTAAATTATTTCAATTTTTTCCTGGGTAGGGCAAGACATTGCTATCATATGAAAAAAATTTGATTCTTATCTCTAAAACAAATGAATTGTATCAGAGACAAGATAGACAGACTCGCAAAGGATATAAGTGACTTATCAATACAAGAAAACTCTTTAAGATTAAATACAGAACATCCTGAGACTGCAGAAAAGCTATTGAACGATAGAGAAGCGATGCTGGAATTCCACTTATTAGAAAGAGGTGTAAATCCATCTACCAATAGAAAGATATCAATCGGTGGTCCAACATA